ATTGGGTACGACATGAGCAGGGAACCCGTTGAAACCTGTTCACGAAGGATTCTTTTTATAGTCTCGTGGACTATAGGAGAGGGAAGCGACCTGTAGGAACCAGGAATGCACCAAACGTAGTACGATCATTGTAACACCAACCGGACGATCGACGCGCCACGGCACCTTAACTGGAGAACACAATCTCAACGCCTGCTGGATCAGCGTGTGAAACGGCTTTGATATGCAAAAGTTTTTTTATTTTCAAATTTTTTAATTATATTTATAGTTTATATAAACTTAAATTCAACAAAAAAATCCAAAAATATATAAAATAACAAATATAATAATTTAATTTCAAATTGTTATTAACTCTTTTTACATATAAATATTTTTATCAAATATATTCAAAACAATATTTAGATTCTCAGATTCTTACTGTTCAAAATATAAACTTTGTACAAAAGATATACAATACATTTTCAAATGTTTAATATTCATCAAAAATCAATCAAACAATAGATTCTATCAACTATATTCTTTATATTAATAATAATCAAAAACCAATAATTAATATATGATAGTAATAACTTGTATATAATATCATTAACAATATTTTCTTTATAGCAAACTTCAATAACTAAATAAAATATAAATTAAAGTACTAACCAAAACATAATTTTATTTGAAAACTCCATTGCAATATAATTAATATTTTTCTACTTAATAAAATAAAATGAAATCAAAACATCTCTAATAATTATCAAAAACCAAGTTTAAGTTTTCAAGTTTAATCAAGAATTTTCCATCCAATTTATTACAAAACACAATTCTTATACCTAAAGATTTCATTAATAAAAAAAATAAATTAAAAAAATAAAGTAAACGTAAGTTCTTTTGTTTGTAAAAATAAATGTGAAGAAAAAAAAAATTTTTTTTCTTAGAAGAATTTTTATAGCCGGTATGGGTTATAAAAAATTCTTTTACATATCAATTTTGTAATATAATATCATAATTTTTTTTTATTAAGCTATTTATATTTTATTCCAAATAAATAAATAAAATCATCTAACATTTTTTAATATAATATACAGTATTACTTTATTAACATATTTTTTAATATCGATTGGAAGAATGCTGTAGATAAACTAACATTAAATATTGTATACATTGTATAATTGAGAAATGTTTATTTCTTTTTTCTTATTTCATTTTTATAATATACAAATAATAAAGAAGTGTCCATTTCTTAAAATAATAATAAGGTTCATCCGATCCTACAATACCTGGAGGCCGGCATCAACAATACAGTATATTTTTCTATGCTATATTGATTATTCAATTCTCATAAATATGGTTCTTTGCATTTTTGATTTTTTTAAACTTTTTTATTGTATATGATTTAGATATTTAACCTTTTTTTTGAAGAATGTATCGCTTATGAATACGCTAACTGCGATAATTATTTTAGCAGAAAACAATATAAAAATCTACAGTGTATTAAATTTTTATTTAAAAAACAATAATTCTAGACGACACATTTTTCTTTTACATTGTTTCCCAATAAACACTCTTACATCACCAAGATCGCATTTTTCTTGGATTACGTAAAAACGAACTGATTCACGTACCACTTATAACATACTTTGAACAATATGACGTTATACTCGAGAAAGAAAAAAGTATCGTAATCCGAAATGACTTCATTCTTCGTAATTTCAAAACGATAATGATGATATAATAGACTTTTTTAAAAAAATCGCCTAATGCACACGTATTTCGCTCGTTCATCACAGACATATAAATATGTCTGCATTCTGGTCGACTTTTAGCAAAAAAAATTTCCCTCAAAAATCTAATCGTTTCTATAAAATCAGTCAGAACCTAAAAACTACCAAGATGTCTCAAAATTCCACTAAAGATATTCCTGAAACGCAAGCTCAACCAGTTAAATCAGATTCTCACGAACAACGATCTGAAAAATCATATAAGGCTGCTGCCCACAATCCAACTTTTTCTCACGAGGCTCGGTAAAAAAAAAACCAAAAAAATGAGTGGATCAAGTCTTACGCATCATTAATTCTAATTACTCTTGTTCTCTAGTGTTCACGCAGCTGAGAAATTGTCCGAACTTCATGAAAAAAGAACTGGTGAAAAGATTGATCCAAATTATGAGGCGAGGTAAATGTCGATTCTACCTAATATGACTATAGTTCTATGGGTCTTACTGATTCTTTATTTTTGCGACATAATGATAGTATTGGAGACAAAAAAGCCGAACAGAGAGACTAAACTAGATGTGAATCTTTCTAGCTTGCTTTACTATTCATACGAATGTTCTTTCAATTTATGTAAAATGCATATTGATAAATAAATTTTTCGCGTACTATATTATTAATAAAAAGAAAATTTCATTTCGCTTAAGTCTGTATCTGTATTTTTGCATGCTATAGAAATAGCGTCGCGTCGCGTAGTTAATAATGTCATTTCATCTTTTTTGTTTTATGTCATATAGCTATTTTTAATTTTACCGTTTAATTGTAAAACTTTAAAAATTTGCTTACGTCTTATAATACGTGTTTCAAGTAGATCGACCTGAAATACGTATTTATTCACAATAAAATTACTAATGAAAATCATGTCAGGTGCGTAAATTGTAAAGATCCAAAATTCAAGTTTTTTATCATTGGTTAAGAATGCCTTGATATCAACCATTGATAATGGTTAAAGAGGCGTTATGAGGGTTAGCAAATAAAGACGACATAAATAAAGAAAAGTGGAATGATGATGATTATATCAAAATACAGTAATTGAAGAAAATTAAGCGCACGGTTGTAACTTGAAGATACTTACATAAGATTCCGTAAGTAATTATACAGTATATGCATTATACACGTAATTCACGTGATTTTTTAATGTAGTATTCGTATGTTACGTTTATACATGCAGGATGCATATGGAAGATGAAGACACTTGTAATTCTTTGACATTTGATTGCCTTGGATTCAATGAGTTGATAAATCATGCGCACTACTACATAATCGCACATCGTGATAATTGGATGCGCGAAAGTATTATCCTGATACATAAGACGAGCTTTCTACATGAATCCTTAAATATTTTCGGGCTATTGCATCAATGATATTATTGAAGATCCAGAGATTGCAAAAATACTCGATTACATATTTTAATTCACACATTACATGAAATTGTGTTGGTTCGACTTAAAGATTTTAAATGGGAAGAGGAATATATTTGGAAGCCTTGATTAAATGGAGTTGCTCAAAAAAAATCACCGGATTGTAAGGATTCCTCGAAAATTTATGATCAATTGAGAAGTCTTATAACCTGAAATGTATAAAGATTTGAGATATTCTGGAGTAATCATCTTTTAATCACTACCAAGACGTGATGCATCAATTGTCTTGAAGGTTTTTGAATTCTTGAACTGGGGCTCACTTGCAATAAAAAGTGTAAAACATTTTTTTTTGCTTAAAATTATCATATAAGAAAAATTTTTAACAAAATAGATGTGATCAGGAAAGAGTTTTATAGTTTTAAAGTATTGTTTACTCTAAATTAAAATAATATATAGTAATTTAACTTGCCTTTGCACTATAATTAATTATTAATATATTATTTATAAAAATATAAAAAAGCTTTTAATCTTTTAAAACAAATATTTCTATAAGTAAATAATTCTTTTTTTTTGTTTCAAGATTTTTAAAAATATATTTAATATAATTATAATTTTAAATTAATACTAAACTTATAATAAATTTATACTCACTTGATACTGCTATAGTATTATTAGGAATTCTAACTATAATAGATAGTAAATAAATATGTATATAACTTAAATAGCTGTATTTATATATCTTATGTCTAAATATTAAACATGCAATTAATAATTACTCTTTTAATAAAGACAATAAGATAAATATCACTTTAATATAAATAAATAAATATTTATTTATTTATTTTTATTATATATTTGTAATATATAAATCATAACTTATAACATAAAATTATGTCACCTTTCGAAAATTATTTTATAAATTTAAATTATTTAGTCAGGTCAACCTTACACATATCCTGTCTAATCAGGATGTCATTACTGAAAATGCATTGTGATGTCTCCATGTGCCCCGATCCCCTCACTAGATTTTCATCGAGTGGTTCTGGCGGTGGGCACGTGATGCAATTCTCATTGTCTATATTTTATTAATATACATGTATATTTATTTAAAAATTAAATATATTAAATTTTGTTTAAAATTTTAAATATATTAGACTTGTTTTTAAAATAAGATATATTGAACTTGTTTTAAAACATATATATACAATATTTGTATTATTGCTAATTTATTTAAAAGAATATTTGGTTTGAATTTTTAAATAAATAATATTTGATTTGTAATATACAGTATATAATTGTGTTTATTTATTTTTTTAATTAAGATTGTTTAAAAAAAATAATTTATTTTGAATTAATGTGTAATTATTTAATTTATTAAATATAATTTGTCAAATACAAATTTTATTGATATTTAGAAAATACACAATCTGATATGCTATTAATTACCAATTTAAAAATTAATATTGATATTTTTTTTCTTGATTTCATTGTAAATTAAATTGTTTACTTTTCTTTGTTTTTTATATAAGTAATTGTTTTCAAAGGCGGACTGGAAATTTTCTGATATGATTTTAAAATTTATATTATAAATATATTGTTTTAAAAGTTGGATCCGAAAAGCCCATATCTAGCATTTTTGTCACCTTCAAAAATAATTACCCATATAAAAAACAAAAAAAAACAAAACAAAAGTTTGATTAGTTTAAATACTAAATTATTTATTTTGTTTTTGTTTTTTTTGTTTAAGCTTTTTTATTTTTCTTTATTTGAATGGTTTTGAAGGGTTTTTTTTTAAAATTATCAAAAATAAAATTTAAAATCTATAAATAGTATAAATAATCTATATTTTTATTAGAAATTATTTACTGATAATTAATAAAATTTACTAATTAAACTAAATTGTTATTTTATTTTATTTTAAATACATATTTTTTTTATATTTACAGGTGTTATATTAGAAATCTATTTAATTTGGATCGAATCTAATTTGAAAGTGAATCCAAAATTTTACTCTCTAGAACAAATTATTCACTAGCAGACATACAGGTTCATGCTTAATAGAAGGGGTTTTGTATATTTTAGTTGAGACAAGACATACTACTCAATTTAAGAATTGTCTTAATCTGGAATCATGATACGTATTTTTGATTTCAAATTCTATAGATTAAACTCTATCTGATAATGACGGTATAAATAAGTTTTTGTTTTAACTCAGTTATGCCTTACTGTATAAAGTCGAAATAAAGTTGATTTTACGTAGCAAAAAAAAAAAAAAATGCGTTTAACCCTTTTCAAGTATCACGCAAAATCGATATGGTTTCTGTATCTTCTACGATACAGTATTCAAATAGCCGATCGCGATTTACAATATTTCCCACGGTATTCAGGTCGTCCCTCTTAACAGGTGTTAAGTCTAAAAATATTATACATTTATATTTATCATACATCAATTAAATTAGATGATTAAAGGCTTACAAATCTCATCTCAAACATCAATGATTTCCTGAAACAGTCTTTTCATATCATATTTATCAACTGCGAGATATTTGTTATTGAGCTGCTGAGTTGAAATGATTCTCAATAGATGGAGAGATCTGGAAAATATGCTTAATGAGGTTCGTTCAATCCTCGACATTAACAAACGATTCAGGAACCCAATTGACATCAAATCCTGGAACGGTGGTGTTTCAAAAATGATTTGATTTGATTTGATTTATCAAATTTTCCTTATGACTGGAAAAGGTATATTCTTTTCAACATATAATGATGATTGCCCTTATGCATTCAATATATTTCTTCGTACAGTATACTTTGTGACGACAAGCCGCATACAGCTTGATATTCATGATTCTCCTTTATTTGCTTTGATTAAAGATTAATGCCGATGAGATCCAGGCGAGTATGTATAATCCAATCGAATGAAGATATTTTGATTGTGAATGGGAAAATAAATAATGATTTTTTATTTCCAAGTAATGATTTCGCCAATTAGATCCTCAATCAAGTATCAACTCATAAGTTATACTATAGTATTTCTGACGATGATTAGTCCAAAATGAAGAGATGTTCTTGTGATTATGACCACTTGAAGGTGTGATTAGAATATCAAACGGTGAATTTGATCACGATGTCTTTCATACCATTGTAAACCTGTGCAGTGATGGGCCGTCTTTATTATTTTATTGAAATTAAATTTGTATTCCTTTTTGTCTCTTATGTTTTACATTTCATAATCTTTCTTTTTGTGTTTACGTGATTTTGAATCATCTACAACTTTGTATACTGCATGGTGCTACATACAATAATAATATCATTAATATAATATAAAACCTAACAATATATATATATTGAAAATGTAAAAGTTTATATTAATTATTTTTTATTTTAATTTTTTATTTATTAATAAATCCTATATTAAAAAATTTAAATCAAATAAATGTTAAGTTATAAAAATATATTTTTAAACTTTCATATTCAATAAAAAAAAAACCATTTTTTATTTATATTTTATTATATTTTATTTTATAGTAAAATGATATTAGATGCAAGCCAATCAAACACTACCAATTATTCAAACAAATCCATACTATCAAAACATCACATACTGATCAATATAAACAAAACCTTTTTTGATAACAACTATCAAGACAAAATCACATTATCAACAAACAAACCAATTATACTATCAACAAACAAACCAATCACTAATTATATCAACAAAACAACTATACAATCATTATAACCAATTGAATATCAAAAAAATATATTATCAACACTACTGTATACTTTGGACAGTAGCCTGGCCATTTGTGATAAGTATATATAAACCACATTTTAGTTAAATAAAACCACCAGAGTGGTATGCTTCTCTAAAGCATTTTTAACTTTACAATTAGTTGTTTTGTATATATTTTTTTGCTAATTATTTTTTTTCTTTTCTTTAATGTTTACTTTTTATAGTTTTTTTATATATAAATTTAAGTAGCTATTTATAGCTGCTCAGCACTATATTTGACAATATATTGGTTTTAATATTTCTTTTCCTTTGCAACTTAAATAGTTTACCATAGGCAAGCTAGCATTAAACTCACTAATCAATTGATTATACAAGAGATGTTATTACTTTCTTCATATACAGTTGAACCTCGTTATA